GCGAGATGGCCCGGCGAATGACGTTCTGGGCGGATAGACCTCGTGGGATCCTGCCACCAAGAATATCAGAGGGCAGGGTCGAAATAAGCCTGCCGACAAGAAATACGGTAGGCAATCCGGTAATGGACTGGGTGGGGGTAGAGTTGGTGGAAGATACGGTGTACCTAGCAGTGAAGCTGGAATGGCGGGCGAGAGGGGAGTTCGGGGGCGTAGACTTGAACCACCCAGGGCGTGTACATGCGACGGGATCTTTACACCTGTCGGAAGAGGGATGGCGGACCTTTGGGATTGCTTTGGCTTCCGGGGATGACCCCGTACGAATGTTCGAAGGGGCATGGCAAATAACCTGGCGGGAGGGGTTTGAGTTTGCAGACCCGGAACGAGATGACGTAATGGCGGAGGTAAAAGTCGCCGCGGCGGGGGTTTTCGAGCTGCCAAATGAGGTCATACGGATGAGTCTACCACCCTTCCTGCTGAGACGAATGGGAGGCATAGAACGAGTGGAGCAGGCGGTGACTACCGTAACTAGGCTAAATTTTGACGAAGCATTAAGGTATCGAGAATACTATCGGGCCTTCCTAGAGATGGGGCCTTTCGGGGACGGACAAGGGCGCGAGGTGCTTTGCATTCTACGAGCTACGGTAAATACTAGGCCAGGATTCCCACAAATAAGCGATGAGACCATGTGGACAGTCATCCGGCAAGAGGTAGGTCGGGCCCCACCTACATAGATGATCTCTACCGGTTGTACGAACAACAAGAGGAGGCTACCGCTCCCAGGGGTATAGAGGGATAGTTGGGACTAGAAAAAAGAAATGAAAACGCGAAGGGCAAGGGAGACAGTAGGTGGGCGGATTCTGAAGATTGGCTGTAACCCTTTCTATGTGGACTATGCAGGAAATCACCAAGGTAACAATGGCTGCAAGACGTGAGCGAGTGGAACGCCAGCCCCGTGTACGAATGAAACGCCAGCCCCGGTACCCCGGACCGCCCTGGAACGACGGTGGGCGATGAGAAGTATCCCTCCCGTCGAGTTCTACCTATCGGGGGTTCGACGTAGAATGGCGGGCCATGACTTTGGGAAGGGACGCCGCCTTCATGTTTGTAGAATGTCGGTGGACAGGGATGAGACTCAACCGAGGACCCGGAGACGATCTGTTCTCCAATCTGGAGGTTACCGGGACCATGTATCTGCCTGAGATCGACTGACATTCGTTGGGGGTAAAGATAGCACAAGGTCACGAGCTGGCACCGGTCTTTCAAAGGGCCGCCCGGATGTTGACCCGGATAGGACATTCGGTCAGGGGAAAAAGGAACGTGGGCTTGCTAACCAAGGTGGAGATGGGAGGTTGGAGGGAGTTGAGGGCACCGACCACACCGCTGAGATGCCGAGTAACCCGTTTTATGATAGACCTCGTCTTCGGAAGCCTCGCAAGGGCGCAATAGCTGACAGACTCAGCGATAGTCTGGGCAGGCCACTTTCCCTCCCCTACCATTGTGATGTTCTACGATGTCGTTGTGGAGCATGGGCCGTTCTGGGGAAACAGGGCCCACGAATTACTAGAAGTCATCCACATCCTGATGTTTTGTGCGCCCCGGCTAGACTGGACAGGGTGCGAACGCATAATCCAAAGGGAAATCGAGATAGGGGAGAATTATCTAACGGGGGTGGCTCAACTATTCGAGGAGCCTACCGAGCCAGAAGAGCCGCGAGGGCGAGAGCGGGATTAACATCCGCAGGCGGGTCAATAGGGAAGATCAAGTATGGTTCGCTGCGTATGGAAGTTCGCCGATGGGAATAAGAAAGGGGCCTCGGACCTGGATGGCTAAGACCCACTAGAAAAACAAAGAAGGGGGGGGGCAGACTCCTAATGATTGAGCATAACCCTGAAGGTCAAAAACGGGAAACGCTGCTCGGGAAGGCTTCCCCTAGCAGGATGCCTAACCCGGACTCCCTCGCGTCGGCCGACGGGACAAGGGCACTACAAACGAGCTTGTGATAAAGGAAGCCCAGTCACGTTCATAGCTCGGTTGGGCGGCAGGGCCAGTCGTGGCTCCTCCTTAAGGAAGGGCAATCAGGAAACGGGGATAGGAAAGGAGACTATAAAGATAAGCCAACAGAGCTAGGAGCCTAAGGAACCTAAAAACCTCGCATTGCGTGTGTCCTGGGAATTCTTTGGCTTATGCAGAACTAGGCAAAATGGCAACGGAGGAGGAGACAGATAACCGTAAGAGTGAAGGAGAACCAGACTTAGAAGGCAGTGCCGCGCAAAGCGAAGGGGGGCAGAAGGACAGAGAATCGATAAATCCGGATGGTACCAAAGAGAACTGGAAGGAAATCTCCATAGGAGAAAGCTCGGGGAAAGCCGGGGGAAGCAGGCAAGGGACCCAGGGGACCAAGGAAGGCAGAAATAAGGATAGGACAAGCCCCCGAAACTCGGAAGGAGCCATGCCTAAGAAAGTAAGGGTCACGGACACGAGGCGCAAACTAGCTGAGATAGACAAGAGGACCGCGGAATACAAGGCAAGACTGATTGAGGAAATGATGACTGGGAACGAAGGAGGTCCTCTGCAGGAGGAACCCCGGGACGAACGGAAAGTCAGCCAAGGTGGGACTGGACGAGGGGATAAAGGTAGTGACCGTGGGGGAACGTCGAGCAAGAGAAGGAAAGAGAGAGAGAACTCTCCGGGGATGAGAGCAGAAAAGGCTACGACTCCGCCAACCATGGACAGTAAGGCTAGTTGCCTGCCGATCACGCCAGCAGTAGCGCGAGGATGCGAAGGACTTTGGAGCCTTAGGGAAAGAGTGTTGGGATGGTTTGACCCGGAAGGAACTATGAAAACCAGGGAGGGACAGAAGGCCGGCAAGGAAAGTCCGGATAACAGTGTGGCAGGCGAGGCCAGCAGCTCCGAGGGCGGCCTTAAGAAGATAGTGTCGTCCCTCGCGCGAGCACTAAACAAAAATCAAGGCTATCTGGCAGACGCCAAGAAAAAGCTGACTTTCGATGGAGCAAACATCACGGAGTTCCTGATCGACTACGAGAACCTAGCTGCATTACTAAAGTGGACCGAGGAGGAAAAAATGGACCATCTAGGACAACATGTGTCGTTAAGCCTAGGACGGGACATAATGGCCATTGTAGCCGCAAGCCGGTCTTGGAAGGAGACCGGGGATGTGATGATGAGGAAGTACCTAGCGGCAGAGAAAATGGCAACGGAGGCCGACCTAGCGGCAGTTCAGAGGAAGAACTTCGCAACGTACAATGATTTCCTACGGGAATTTACTCTGGTAGCGCTAAGGATCCCCGGGGTCACGGACCGGATAATGGGCAAATATTTCCTCAGGCAGTTCTCTGAGTTCGACAAAGACAAGATCCTGTCAGCTTACCAACAGACGAGCAAGTTCGTAAACACGCGGGATGTTGATTTTAACACAGTAACGGATCTGGTTGAGAAAACGGTAGTAACGGAGACGTTGGCCTTGCTTAAGGAAGGAGAGATCATAGATCTGACCGGTAGGACGAGCGACAAGGTAAAAAAGGGGATTGAAAGTCTACATGAACGGGTGCACGAGGTCGACAATAAGATTGAAAGGATGAAAGACGCGCTACTGGTTATGCAAGCGCAAGTATCCCGACCTGCCCTCCCTCCCCAGGAAGCTGTGGTCCCGCCAGGTGTAGCAAACCGGGGATTCGGACGGAGAGATCCTGCTAACGAGCAATGCAAGTACTGCACTGCGATAGGACGTTATGTGCGTGCATGCCCAAAACTCAACCATGATATTCTGAAAAGAAGGTGTACCAGGTCATTAAAGGGGGAGATATTTGGACCACAAGGGGAACGGGTGAACTGGAACTCACTAGGAGGGATGCGGCGAGCCATTATCATGCTCAACGGTCTAGAAATAATAGCCGTAGAAGCCGCGAACCGGTGGGCGAGATCATCTGGGATCAGCTCCGGGGGCGCAGGCCGCAGGCCAACTTTATTTTGGAAAGCGACGGACGTGATAGGGTAAACGCAACCACTCGACTGGGAACGGCCAGTAGAAGGATTAAAAGTGACACCATTATGGAGGAGGTCGCCGGAACCTCCGAACCCCAGGCGGAGCCTGAGGTCGAGGAACCAGAGAAAGTCTATGGGAAGCCTAGGGAAGAGGAGCCATTATCAAATCCCGATCTTAACCTTGCCTGAGCTCGACGACACCATTAGCAAGTTACTAGGAACCATGGTGTCGGTGTCTTTTCAGACCATGCTGCAGGCTAGCCCTAGGTTGCTCAAAGGGCTCAGACAACTGTTGACTCGGAGGCGAGTAGAAATAGGCGACAACCCCGAATTACCAGAAGGGGAGAGGGAGGAAGAAGCTCCGCAAGAAGTGGCTAACCTTCAGAGGAGTCACGGGGACTTGGAGGATCTCGAAAAGGCCTTTGCAGACATTCGTTTGAGCTTGCCTGACCGAGAGGGCGGCGAAGTCATGAGATCGCCACCCGGGACGAAGCTTAGCTTTCATGCGTTGGCTGTAGGGAAACTGAAAATCCAGATCGGGAGTCATCACACCGATGCATTAGTAGACGGGGAAGCAGATATCACTCTCATAAGAAGAGATTTCGCAACGATCACGGGATGTATGGTAAACAAGGAAGTAACAGGGAGCATCCGGGGAGCTGGCGGGGAAATCCCATTCGCTGGGTACGTCACGAAGTGTGCTGTAAAGGCAGGGGTCAGAAAATCGATCTGGTCGTTTCAGCGGATGACCGTAATGGAGGAGATGGACCACGACATAATCCTCGGGAGACCATGGTGCGCGAACGTGGAGATGATAGGCATGCACTTGCACGATGGCTCATACATGGTAGACATAGAGGACCCTGTGACCGGTCGGGGAGAGCTCCTCCGACTCCTTGGAACGGGAGGAGACCCCCCGAGGGGGAAATTAGCAACATGGTCGCCGTCGTTCGAGGATAGCATGCGAAAAGGGGCTTTCGCACGGATGGAGGGTATGAGAGAAAGAGTAGAAATCATTATTGAGGAAACATTCAACAAGAAGGAGTGGATCAAGATGGGCCTGGCCCAGAAGAAGAGGAGGCAGGAGGACAAAGTCCTAGGTGTTATGGTAGCGGAAAATGAGTCAGAGGTCGAACTTGGTGCTAGCCTGCCCAAACGGAAAGAAGTACGCATAGACGTGCCGAAAATCGCACTCGAGATCCCCGATCTATTGCAACTCATCAAGACCCTCAGATACCAGAAGGTAGGAGTGGATTCGGCAGCCTTGGCCAAGTTCGAAAGAGAGGTGCAAAAGGGATATTGCCTGAATGGGAAACTAGTTAGTATTCAACCACGAGTCGTAGAGGCGACGGGGGCAATTTCGACTGTTCAAGATCCCGGAAGGAAGTGTTCGAAAGTACAAGCCGGTAGGGAAGAAAGCAAAACCGGTCTCGATCCTGCTAGAGACATCAAAGGAAGAGGCTATGGAGAAGGAGGAAGAAGTCCTTCGAGTGATCCGAGAAAGAAGGGCGATGGAGGGACATCGGATACTAGATGAGGTAGTGGACACAATGAAGATAGGGATAAACGGGTTCTTAACGAAAGAAGAAACCCGCCTGATCAAAAGGACCTGCCAGGAGTTTCACCTGACATTTGCCTTAAGTGATCACCAGAAGGGACGACTGAATGCGAAGTTGATCCCTCCGGTCAGAATCCACACGGTAGAATATGAGTGCTGGAATGACAAGGGGCCATCCTATGAATTTGGGATAGCAGGAGAAGTAACAGACCTCCTCCGACCGAAGATGGACTCCTTCGTTGCGGAGCCTACGGCATCACCATACGCAAATCAGTGGTTCGTCTTTCGGAAGCCTAACAAGACACTAAGGTGGATTCATGACCTGCAGAAGTTGAATGTGGTAACCATCCGGGATGCTGGCTCGCTACCTCAGGCTGACTTATTAGCAGAATCGCAAGCCGGTCGGAGCATTTACTCCCTGATAGATCTGTACTCAGGGTACGACCAGCTTCCATTGGATGTTCGAGACACGCCATACACTGCTATGCACAACCCCGTAGGCCAGCTACAGATGCAAGTGACACCTATGAGATTCACAAACGGGGTGGCCGAAGCGCAACGCAGGATGCTCGTCGTGGCCGGGGACGTGTTCCCAGAAAAATGTGAACCTTACATCGAAGACAATCCAATCAAAGGCGCGCAGGAAAAGGACGAGACGAAAGTCCAGTAAGGGATCTGACGTTTTGTGTGGGACCACTTGCAGGACATCAAGGACTTACTCCGCCGGTTCCTAGTATACAACATGACGGCTAGTGGACCAAAGAGTATCCTAGCAGTACCAGAGGTAACTATACTAGGATTTCGTTGCGGTGCTTACGACAGGAAGCCGGATCCGGCAAAGACCGACAAGATATCACAGTGGCCGACACCACTGCGCACGACGACGGAGGTAAGGGCATTCCTAGGCGTAGTCGGCTTTTGGAGGATCTTCATTAAGAACTTTGCCAAGATTGTTGAGCCTATCCGGGCTATGATCATGGAAGAAGAAACCATGGATTGGACGGAGGAGCGAGAATGAGTTGTCCAAAGGCTCAAGGACATATTGACATCTGAGATAGTCGCCCTGTCCTCGCCTTGTTTTAATGACGAAATGGGACGACCCTTCATCCTAGAGACGGATGGAGGATCTTTGGCCGTAGGAGGTGTGTTGATTCAAAGGGATGAGGGAGGAAAAGAGAGGCCGATTAGGTTCGAAAGTAGAACCCTGAACTCCGCAGAACGGCGGTACTCACAATTCAAGAAGGAAGTCCTAGCCATCCTGCATTGCCTTAAGACCTTCCAGGCCTACCTATTTGGGAGGCGGTTCATCTTAAGGATCGATCCGACGAATGTCGCAGGGGCTCTAAAGAATTACAGACCTATAGATCCGACGGTGGGGAGATGGGTAGGATTTATCTGGCAGTTCGATTACAAGATCGAACGGATTGCTGGAATCCGCAACAAGGCAGATGGGCTAAGTCGGGTTTGCATCGCTCCCGAAGGCATGGAGGATGCAGAGCCCATAGACGCATTCCCTGAATACGAAGGAGGGACTCTCGCGGTGGATAACGAAATGATGAGCGGGGAATGCACATCGGGAGAACTATTGATCCAGACTTTGGAGAAGGGGGCACCTGCGGTAGTAGCAAAACTTAGAGAAGGACCAGTTACCACYCGAGRACGCAGAGAAGAAAARGACTCATGGGGAGCGATAGTAGGACCGAAAGAGGAACTAATGACAATGGCAGTCGAGGGAGGCCGGGAGGCAGTGATGAGCTTGGTGGAATCTTGGGAAAGGAAAGAGTTGCAATGGGTGGTAAACAAGATGCAGGAAGGAAAGGATGGGGGTCAGGACGGGGATGAGTTTCTCTATGTCCAATCATACGAAGGGCTCTTTCGGGAGATCGGGTTGTTGTTGGTAGAAAACAAACAACTTACGGAAGTCAGTATTAAAACAAGGGAAGAAGCCGAAAGGTACGTCCTAAGGGGCGGGCATTTGTTCCGAAGGGAGGAAGGTGCTATGCCCAGAAGGGTTGTGTGCGGAAGACCTAGGCAAGTAGACGTTATCCAGACAATGCACGACGGGTTAGCTTGAGGTCATCGGTCGTCCAAAGGAACGCTTGCAAAGATAACACCACTCTATTATTGGCCAGGCAAGGCAAGCATGGTCGCCATATACTACCAGACTTGCCTTATCTGCCAAGAACGAAGCTCGGTGCGGGTCTTCGAGCCGCTTAGACCAATGCGGGTGCTAGGGCCGGGACATCTGGTCCACCTTGACCTTACGGTCATGCCTGCATCAACGGATGGGTACAGGTATATCCTGGATGCGCGAGACAACCTGAGCGGGTTCGTGGAGGCAGTCGCCCTCAAGAAAAAGACAGGGAGGAGTGTGGCGGACTGGATAAAAGACTTCTACTTGAGGCATCCGTTCGTCAGGAGGCTTATAGCAGACAATGAGACGGAATTTGTGAACCAAGAAGTATTGGGGATGCTTAAGAGACTCTGCGTACCGATCAAACTCATCGAGCCGTATCACCCTGAGGCCAATGCACCTGTGGAAAGGGGGCACCGAACCTTGAAGAACACGATTACAAAGCTTGCAGCAGACCATTTGGGGAACTGGTCTAGGTATCTTAAGCAGGCTGTCTTTGCAGAGAATATGACTCCTAAAAGGACAACAGGATGTATCCCGGCAGAGCTTTGGTACGGAAGAGAGATCGACTTTCCTGTGGAAGCCTTGGTACCTACCTGGAATAGGTGAGATGATGATCCGCAAATGACCACTGAAGAGTTAATCGAGGCAAGATGTCAACAAATCCTTAAGAATGAGGAGGTCATGGAAGACATCGCCAGCTGGGTGCTGGACAGCAGAATGAGGGACAAAGCAAGGTGGGACCAGGTTAAGAATGTCAGAAAGGAGCCACTTCAAATGGGGGAGATGGTATTGCTAAGGAACTCGGCACTAGAAAGTACTCGGTCGGGATAGTTGGGAAGGAGGTTCAAAGGCCCCTACCGGGTCGCCAAGCGGGTGGGACTAAACACCTTCGAACTGGAAGATTTGGATGGAACTGGATTGAAAGGGCCATTCCCGGGGCAACGACTGGTCAGGTTTCTAAGTCGGGACCCAGTGGAACAATGGCTTCAGGAGGCCGAAGATAAGGAAACTGAGGAGCCACAAGCTAAAGACTAACCATAGCCTTGCCCACACTATGGTTTGTCTCTGACCATGTTCGTCGGACTGTCATTTTTTGGGACTGACGCTTTGGCTTGGACTAACTGAGGTTGAAAGGCAGCATCACTTGGGGGTTTGCAATATCTGGCTTGTGTGACAACGGGAAGGGATGTTTGGGGCATTGTACCATAGTTTTTGACGGGAAAAAAATGGGGTCACCACAAACGACGCATTCGCATGTATAAAAGGGGCGTGATGTGAGGGATACTGGGTGCATTTTGGGAATGCCTACCGGCCTAAGGAGGGGGGAGGCGCGAGTGTGTGAGTGAGGGACATTGCGGGTGTTGTTTTGTTATACAGGGCTTAGGAGTAAAACGAGAAAAGACAAAAATGGAATTCGGCAACGAGAACGACAGCGGGGCAATCAACAGGCCTACCAGAGGGTAAGAAGTTGGACCAAGCCAAGGGAGGAGGATAGCAAAGAGAAAATTGTACGTTGGGCTCATGGGCGGGCCAGTGGTAGGCAGGGGTGGAAGGAAATGCTTGTGTAGGAAACCCTCACCCCTCCGCAAGGGAGAAGGTATATAAATATCATCTGTCAGTGAGGGCGAAAAGGGAAGGGCAAATATGGAAGAAGGAGGCAACACAGATATGGGAGATAAGGCTCGAGTCTCTAACGAGGAAGGGGCCAACGGGGGCGAACGACGTGAGACTTGGCATGGGGAAAGCGAGGGGGGATAAGGTATGCGCGACGAACGTGAGGAGGACGAGGAGAAAAGAAAGAGCCCGCTTGAAGGACGAAGCGGTCACGACAGTTGCGAGAGGTATGGAACGGGGACAGAGATACCTTTTACCTACGACCCGAAGAACCTTGTTGGTGGGTATAGCCCCATACAGACTGAAGACGAGGGGGATGAGGAGGAGGATGTGCGAGAAGTCATAGAAATCAGCAGCGGGGATGAGAGGGATGAGATTTCAAGGCCTAGGGAAGAGCGGCGGCCTCCGATGCACCAGCCGGGCGACGGGGCTTTCAAATGGGAGGACGAGTTTGGGCCAACGCCCAATCATTGGTTTCAGCAATGGACCAGTGTGATCAGGCACGAATGGATTATCAAGACTCGGGAACTCGCAAGGGCAGGGGTGGAAGCCACACCACTGGATTTTTTTAACGAGGCAGGGTTACGGAAAATTGTAAGGATGAAAAAAAAGATCGAGGTCTACGGCCTGGGGGTTAGGAAGCCTGCCGACGAACGGGGTGGACAAGGAACTGAACAAGTGGAGGCGCAAGGCAGCAATAGGAACTAGGTGTTGACTTAGCATTGAAAAGGATCACTGCTTTTCTGTCTGCAGAGACATGAGAATCACGAGAACGTGTATAGTATGGGCAAGCTTGCTACGGGGGAAGTGAAAAGAGGGCCAGCTAAGGCTGTGTCACGATAAGATAGAAGGTAGTTTTTTAGGCTACTTTTTGGATGAGCTACCTTGGGTACATAAGACAAAGACATGGGATTTGGGATGAGACCAATTGGGAGAAGGTGTATTGTGAATTCTGGATGGAATAAGGATTATGCTTTTGAAAGGGGAAAACCTTGAGTATGGATTGACGAGCAAACCATGACATTGAATGATTGGTCGAGTACAAGAGAGGTTAGGGAACCTATGGGTTAAGGGGCGTGAAGAACACTCCTTCCCTACGAGCCTAATCCAACTGAGTCATGAATGAGACTGAGAATAGCCGAAACCTGAGAGATTAGGAAGAGTGAAAATGAAAGGGGCGCCTTTGTCAATGGTTATGGATGAACGACCGGGTGGGCTAGTGCTGCTTGGGGTCGCAAACCCCAACTCGAGTGCTAGACGCTAAGTCAGATGTACGCATGGATTGTACATTACTGTGAGAAATGGAGTGGATGGTACATTACTGTGAGAAATAGAATGGATGGTACATTACTGTGAGAAATGGAATGGATGGTACATTACTATGAGAAATGGAATGAATGGTACATTACTGTGAGAAATGAAATGGATGGTACATTACTGTGAGAAATGGAAGAAAGAGAACAACACGCAAAAGATGAGATGGCCACCTTCTAACCTCAAGACAGAAATGGGATCCGTAACCTCGAGGCCCACCCCCTCGGGCACTAACATTGAGAATGGAAAGGAATGACCCTAACCGGGCTATTCGACTAGAGAATGGAAAGGAATGAACCTAACCAGGCTGTTCGACTTGAGAATGAAAATGAATGGCCCTAACCAGGTTGTTCGACTTGAGAATGGAAAAAAACGACCCTAACCAGGTTGTTCGGGAATGGCCCCTGACAAGGGTCATTCCTTTTGAAATAGGCACTGGGGTCCCCTGCATATTTGATTGAGAAAAGTTGATTGAGAACGTGCTGGAATGAGCAATAAGAGATGGAAAGGGCCGGTGGGTCGGTCATTGAAATAGCCAATGGGATGAAAGAGATGGAAAGGGCCGGTGGGTCGGTCATTGAAATAGCCAATGGGATGAGATAAATGGAAAGGGCCGGTGGGACGGTCATTGAAATAGCCAATGGGATGAGAGGAAGAGATGGAAAGGGTCGGTGGGTCGGTCATTGAAATAAGGCAAAGGGATGGACGGGAGAGATGAAAAAGGCCGGTGGGTCGGCCGCTGAAACAGCCAAGGGGGCGGAAGAAAGATGTGAATGAGAAGGACAGGATAAAGAAGGCGGAACCTTGAAGTCGAGAAGGGCAGGGACCGTTGGGACGGTCACAGAGATTGGGTGTTGAGGAATGAGAAAATTGAGGATTGAGTGGGCGGAAGGGTCAGTCTTGAGAAATGACTATTGAGAGAACGACCGCCAGACCGGCCATGTGGGTGGCCTTGTTGATGAGAGGCTGTCAGACCAGCCATGAGAATCAGCTTTGGAAATAGCATTGGATTGAATGATTGAGAATTGAATATTGCATTGCATAGTCAGGGGACCCTAGGCAACTTGAAATGGACTTGGAAATAGCCTTGAAATGAATTTTCTCTTTTTCTAATCCTTGGCCTCAGCAGGAGGGGGATACTGGTGCTCGCACCACGACCCCAAGACCTCTATCCCTGTAAGGGAAAAAGTCTCAGCGCGACCTGTTCCTGTTGTAAGGGGATGAGGGTTAAAGGACCAAGGCACCTACCACTTGAATCGGTGCGGGACGTCCGGAACTGACCCCGACAACGAGCTCTAGTCGGAAAGTTCAACCTGCGCCTCGTGTTGAACGCCTAAACGTCAAAGGGTGAGAGAACCAAATGGGCGAGAGAGCCATTCTTTTTCTACTCTCCTTTGTTCTCCCCAACCACACGCCATGCCGTTGAGGGCGCGGCACGACCGCTTGGAATGGATCACGGCGGCTCGCGTTAAGTTGAGCAGCACTGTCCAGAGGGAGGAATTGGGCGTGGTACCGGGTGGAAGCCACAACCACCACGGGGCATTGACACCGCCCCGCCGGAGCATTACAACCGCTCCGGGACTAATTGCGAGGTCTTTGTAACTGCACTCGCGGACTGATAGAGAGCCTCAACTCTCTTTGAAAGGAAGAGGCCGGATCCAAGAAAACACCATTCGGAAGGAACGATTCGCGAGGAAGCCCTTACGGCAAGACGGGGGCCTGGGAGGCTTGGACTGGATCTGCCTTCCAGATGTGAGGAAGTACCTAAGTAATAACCCCCGTCTCGTAAGTGGCAAAAGGTCGGACGGAGTAAGGGGATGAGGTGAGTTATCATCAGGGGGAGGACTGATCACCTTTCCTTTTTGGGGCTGATGGGCCGGCATCCGCCTACTCGTTAGTGAGACAAAGGTTGCGTACCTCCGAGTGAGAACTAATCATGCGATGGGGACATCGCATTTTGAGTGGGGGGAAGGTGTGCCATCTACCGATGAAAAAGCATGCAAAAGAGAAGGTTACCATGAGCGTAAGAACGGATGAGTAATTAACTTTGCGCAAGCCTGAGAAAAGGCCTGACAAGATGTCCAGAAGAAAAGAATGGATGAGTAATTGACTTTACGCAAGCTTGAGAAAAGGCCTGGCAAGATGTCCAGAAGGAAAGAATGGATGAGTAATTGACTTTGCGCAGGCTTGAAAAAAGGCCTGGCAAGATGTCCAGAAGAGAAACAAATGAGTAATTGGCGTGGCATGAGTTTGAGAAAATACATGGCAAGGTGTCCAGCTGAGGAAAAGATGTGTGAATGACTCCACATAGGTTTGAGAAGAGACCTGGCGAGATGTCCAGGAGAGGAATGAATGAGTATTTGACCTAGCATGGGCTTGAGAGAAGGTCTAGCAGGATGTTCAGAAAAGAAAGATATGTGAAATTGGTTTTGCATAGACCTAAGGAAAAGTGGCGGGAACCACCAACGGGACAAGTGGCGGGGACATGTGAAAGTCCCAAGAAGAAACTGCGGCACCGCATGAGGGAAAAATAATAAATGCAAGGTGCACCGTCAAGATCGACATCTTGGCGACCAAGAATATTAGCACCACAAGTGCAAGTACTAGTTGTGACAAACGGGAAGGCCAAAAGGAAAAGGAAAAGTAAAGAAAACTGAAGTGGGAGGCATGGGAGGAATCCGAAAAATCTCGGATCAGCCTCCCCCAAGAAAATAGAGTCAAATAAGACCCCATGTGAAAAATAGCCC